ACAAAAAGGACAGCAACTTGTCTGTTCCCCTTCCCCCAATTCCCCAGCACTGTTCCCATCCCCCCAATTCCCCAATAAAAATAAAATAAAAAAAGAAGAACTTGGACAAAAGAGACATCCGAGGCTGGAGTGGTCAGGGTGGGCTTCCTGGAGGAGGTAGACAGTATTATGTGGATTCACACTTTAGGGTATCAGATGGAGAGAGTATTCCAAGTTGTGACAACACATAACAGGAGAGCAAAAGAGAAAAAACTGAGTGGAACAGCGTGATATTATCAGGGATCCAAGGGCGTAGAGATGCACTACAGAAGGGTCCTGAGAAAACTTGGGGTGTTCTTTTGGGACAAATGGAGAACCTGCTCTATTTGAAAAAATATACCTTGAATATGTGGGATGTCACTTAACGTTTCTAATGGTTATTTATGAGATAATTTCATTCCCAACACAAGAGGCACTTAAACTTTTATTCTCTTTACTCTTCTGAAATGCATTTCTCCTCAATTATAAGGCATCTTCAACTAATTTTTGTATTTGTTGCCTGATTTGACTTTTAATTTTTGATTAATAGTAAATCTTTTTAGCAGTCCATAGATACCTCTCAGCTTAAGTTTCTAATATGTTTCCCTCCTTAATTCTCTGGTCCCTTAGGCTGATTGTGTTTTGGGTTCATTTACTTTCCTTTACTGATCACTTCCTTCAGTTTTCCTTCCCCTCTGGCTTTTTTACCCTTTTCAAGCCGGGGACTCTTCCCAGTTCAAGTGTCATTGGTGATGGATAATCATTACCCCACTGTCTGGAAGCTTGCTCTTGAGAAGCTCCCACTGCAGCAAAATTGTGAAGCGTTTGACCTTGTCCTGATGCAACCTGGTATAGCACTTATCTGTTGATAAATAAAACCAGGCTCATGAAACCTGGCTCTCTTTTGCCCCCCCCCCCTTTTTTTTAATACCAGCAGACCTCTAATCTTAGAGCATTTGGTGGACTTTTGATCCCTTTTAGTTACCTGTTCACCTGTCCCTCATGTCCTCCTGAGAGGTGAGTCTATAAATAAATGTTCTCCAATTATTTCTTAGATATTCTCGAACTACCCGTGTTATTAAAGACAGGCCATTTCTAACATGTGGGAGGTAAGGCCTAGACCTGCAATGTCTCGTAAGCTAAACAAATTGAATGCATGCATGGAGGCAGATTTGACCCAGAAATACCCTTCTCCTTCAGGACCCATTGTCTTCAAGAAGAGAGAAGAATTTTAAAGCCATTCACCCTCTCACATTTTCTTTTATTTTTCTTTCTCTTCCTTTCACTCTAACCCCAGCAAAACATTAGTCATTCTCCTTAAGAAGGGCAGAAACATAATGATATCTCCTGTTATTTTACCTAGTGAAACAGCTTATGTTGGCCACCCAAAGGGAAAAAAAGAAAGAATACAGGAAAACAAAAATTAAACTTTCACTTTCTGTTGACCAGATAAAATATACATTTGTAATAATTAAGATATACATTTGACGAGAGAACTACATGAACAGAAAAGTAGAACAGAGTAGAGAGCCCAGAAATAGTCCCTAAAATACACAAAAGTGTGATATAGGCAAAGCGGGGGAGGTTCTCAAAAATCAACAGTGAATTTGGGAATATTACGTAAGTGGTCCTGGGACAACTAGTTAACCACTTGGATAAAAACTCAGGTTAGAACCTCATCTCCCATTGTACTCATACATCAAAACTAGCCCTTAAGAAGTTAGAACTAAGCCAAAAGGAGAGCTAGGGGGAAAAATAATTTTAAGTATGAGACAATTCAGAAGAGCTTGGTTTCAGGGAGACAGAGGAAGGCACCAAGGAAGGAGTGACCATTTTCTTGAGGATCCACAAACCAGCCACACATGTGGAGGGAGCTGGACATGTGAGAACGTACTGACGCCGCCACTGATTGCGGAGGCTGCTTCCGGCTCCGTGATGGCCATGGTTGTGGATTTTAAAATTTAACGTAGATCAGGCATGTAGAGCTGCTGAGAAATTTGTATTTACTATGAGACAATTGACAAAAGAAGAAGGACACTGCCTGGGCTGTATCAGGACAAGGCCACTTTAATATGGAAGGGACATGTTGTTACAGGGCCAGAAGCCCTGGCTAATTTTTTTGATGTGTTGCCTTCTAGCGAATTCCAGCTCAACATGTTAGATTAACAAGCAGTTTCTGAGCAAGCTACTCAGTCCCAGATTACAGTTCTTGTCATGACTAGTGGAACTGTGAAGTTTGATCAAACAAACAACAAACACTTCCTCAATCAGGACTTCCTGCTGTCGGCTCAGTCAACTGCTCAGTCTTCTAACAACACTGTGGGGAATATTGCAAGTGATTACTTCTGTTTTCAAGATTGGGCTAGTAGCTAGAGGGGGCAAAAGGCCACCTCCTTTGGCCCATTAGTTCCAGCAACACAAATTTGTGTGAATTAATTCATTTCATTGTAGAAGCACTATATAAACTAGTTTGTGCTGAAACTAAATTTCTTTAATATTTTTTACTTCTAGAAGCATCTTTTCTAGGAGCTGCCCATTTGGATCATTGCCCTTAAGAGCTTTAATGCTAATTTTTACATGCCTTATATACATTTCACTAATGACATTCTTACAGTGATATTATAAACACATCTCTGTACTAACATACTCACTGTGAGCCCAGCCTATGGCAAAGATGAAATCTTTTTATGATGCTGTCTATGGGGTTATCAGCACAACATAACTCTCTGGGAGAAAGTGGAGTATGTTTTTTTTTTCTTATTAGGTTGATTTTGTAGTAGAACACATACCTATTTTCAGTAAACACTGGTAATGCAGTTTTAGTGTAAGGCTCTTTCAAATCAGTTCAATGAAAATATTACTAATTTAGAAGCCATAACTACTTTGACATATTAAAATCACATGTAGAGATGGTCAGTAATCTTTTTTCATGTTAAAGTAATGTTTATTTTTTATGTCAACTATGTGTTCCTATGAAGTAAATTAATTTACTAGAGAGGTGTGAAATGTTCTTATTTGATACCTGAGTTTTGGATACACTCAGTGACTTAAAAGCAAAACTTCTTAAAAAGATTTTTCTTGGCAAGTCCAGGTTTATTAACTTTAGGTAAAGAATGGTAGTGGGACTAATAGCTTTAATGGGAGAATGGGGAGTGAGAAATATAGAAATCCAAGGTCGGCCAAAAGTTAGAAGGGGTGGCAATGGTAAATTTTTGGTACTTGTTTTCTACCTCCTAAAAATGTAGCCTCATTTTAGGATTTAAGTCATTAAGGTAATATGTGTCATTGTCAAATAGTCACGAGTGTCACTTTTGTTCTAAAATGATTTTTAAAGTTTTTCCGGTTTACCTCATACTTATCACCAATAGGTGTCTCAATTTATTCAAGAACTTATAAGGGCAAAATATCAGCACTAAACCTGACTCTGCAGCAGGGTCTGACAGGAACATTGGACACAAAGCCACTGTTATCTCTTTTGGACGCCCTTAACTTCTAAGTCGTCTATGTGAGCTGCAGGCCAAAAGCCTCCAATGTAAGTGATTTGTTTCCTGTGTCTTACACTGTCAACTGCATTATCTTTTTTTATTCATTAAAGTTAAAAATATTTGATTTTATGATTTGTTCTTCCATATGGCATTGTGAACAAATGGATTTGTTTTAAAACATGTTCCTGTTATGTGGCTAACTCTTTGTCTTTGTAACGAGAAAACAGAGAACATCAAATCTTCATAAGCCCAAAACTTCAAAAGAACAAATTGATTCATTTTATGTCTCAATGTCTAAAGAGAAAGAAATACAGCTTTGGTTTTTTATTAAACTTTAAATGTTTTTCCATTCTTGAATTTATTGTTTTAAGGTTTTTAAACTTGGATATGCCAGCTATGTTTCCACATTGCAACTCAAAGTTAATGTTTCTTATCACTTCATTTGAAAACCAGTAATTCGTTTACTCTTGCCCCAAACCACACCCTGATATTTCTGATATATTAACAAAATAGAATTAAATAGAAGGGAGTGGCACTGAAATTTAGACTGCTCCTTGTAGTACTAATCAAAACTTAATTGGGCCGGCCAAGTGGCGCGTTGGTTAAGAGCTGCCTTGGGATGCCAGAGGGCCCTGGTTCGGATCCCACATATGAGGGCCAGTAACACTGCCCTCTAAAGAAAAAAAAAAAAACCCAAAAAAACAAAACAAAAAAAACTTAATACATCATAGTTTATTCAAAGTGAGCTTATTCTGATTTTGGATGGACTTTTAAAACCATAGCTTAAGCAGTAACGACCAGAGTGTCCAAACACTGACCTTTCTCTTATGGAGAGCAGTCTCAAGTAAAAGCTGCATATAACAAGCAATAACTGAATTGAATGGTTGTATACTATTCATGAAATGTTTTTAAAGATGTGTATATGAATTGCTTTTTCCAAACTGTACACATTTTAAGTGGCTGGAACTACTCTTATATGGACTAGACTGTATTTTTGACCTACACATATTTTTGTAACTTGAAAAAATTTTTTTTGCCTTTTTTTCTAAAAAAAAAAAAAATTGCACTTAAGAAGTTATGGAACATAGAAAAAGACATTGCCCAGCCAATTTGGTGAGGTGCACACAGCTTTGAATCCACAAGCACAATGCAGGCATAGCCCTGACTTCATTGGGTCAGGTATTTAAATTCAAAAAATAAACAAAACAAACAAATTGATTGAATTTATTATCTTTGAGTGTAGTGCAATATGCTCAATGGGGTGGGGGGGACTGTTTTGAATATTTGGAAGTCTCTTATTAATGCCCATATATATGCATTACATTAATGCCCTGTATATATGCATTACATTGCTAGGAGGAAGGCAGGTAAAGGCCTGTGTTTACAAAAGAAATGACACTCCAAAGGGGCCCACATAGTGCTTAGAGTGTAAGAGTCATTGCTACTATGGGACTCTGCCAGCCAGAAACCACTCCCAGTGGGTAGGGTCCTTGAGTAGAAATGAAAAGCCTGTGTAAGGCAGGGGCAAGTGTATGGGAGGAGACGGCCTTCACGACTGAGGTCAAATCTCCCTGATGGTGGGTCCCATTCCCCCTTGTTCAGATGTTCCAGCTGCCCTGTGTTTGACAGGAGCAAGTTGATGCCTAGGAAGGCATTTGCTTTTGCATTGTCTGAGTCCAGCTGTGGCAACACATTGAATCCAGAATAATAAGGTTGGGGTAACTGAGGTACCAGAAAGGTCCATGTTTAGAGAAACGTCCATTTGTAGTATTCAGCAGCAGCACAATCAGCTGTCTATCTGTGGGGTCAGGTAGGAGGCAACACATCCAGCAGTTTGTTAAATACAGGGCAGGGGCAACTTCCTGAATTGGGTACGAGGAAATCATACCCTGTAGGAGAGAAAGGAGAGAGGTTAGATCTCCACCTCTCCGTTTTCCCATAACCAGGCTCACAGGTTCAAAGCTGCTCACATCGTCAGTTGGAGGGACTTCTTCCTATCGACTGTGGGCAGTCTATCCTGTACCATTAGCAAGGATAGCATCTTTTATCCATTACCCAGGGTGGTGAACTCCTATCATCTGGCTTGGATCCTCTTGTGACTTGACAAAATCCCAACTATTGATAGAATGAATGAATGTCCTAACTAGAATCCTAGAAAAATAGAGACCCTAAATGAAAAAAAGAGCACATCATCATGCACTCAGATGTTAAACCGAAAGTGATCTTAGATTGTCTAGTCTAACTTCCTTGTTTTGGAACGTAGAAATCGGACCGAGAGATAAATTGACCAGCCGAGAACCAAGCCTGGGTGCCTCATGCCCTGACCTGTGCTCCCTCCACTCCATAAAATTCTGTCACGCAATCACGATACAGAAAACAGTGTATCTCATTTTCTCCTCAGAGCCCCACCCTCACACGCTGATTTGCTGAATCTGTTCTGCCTGTGGAAATTCCAGAAGTTGTGTTCAGACGAATGCTAGCAAAATGTTCTTCATCTGACTTTCATTATATTTTTGGAGGCATTTCTTGTCAAGAACACATCCCAGAAAGGAGCATCTGTATGTACCCTCTGGTAAGATTTATTTAGAATTTTAGGAAGGAACCAACTTGTTTCTGGAATTGTCTAGGCTGGTGGCCACTTGAATATCCAGGTGATACTTTTCTTTTAACTGAATATATGTAAATTACAAGTTTCTCTTGCAATCCGAGAGCCCATTTGGGTCCTTGAAACTTTCTGGGTGGAGATCCTTCCTCCTGGCTCCATGCTTTCCTCCCAGCTCTGCCTTTTGCCAGGGGTGTCAGAATTCCCACTAGCACAAAATATTAATGAGTAACAGCCTCAATTTTTGAGCTCCAAACACCCTACTTCCTTAGTCATGGTAATTATTTATCTCTCTCCTTTTCTACTCTAAATAGTTAACAAGATAAAGACAAATATCCAGAACAATATAACAGGAAACGCAGGGCATGAAAGTCATGGGGAACCTTACCTTACGGGTTGATCTTGCTGGCTTCCATGAAGATCCTGCTTGATGGAGCGCTGGTGTGTAACCAGCTTGTGTGCTGGAGTGAATGTTTCGTCAGATTGGGTGGGAACATGGCTGACTGAGTCCGCTGAATTGGCAAGATTATCAGTTTAGGTTTTCAGCCTGCATCTTTCTTCGGTTAAGATTCACTTTAAAACAAGATGCAAATTTTCCCTCAGAAAATCGTTTGAAGGCTTTTCACTTTGGCGGTATGGCGCCATGATATTGAAGCTGGAATGCAGAGGAGACGCCATTATGTGATTTCTCGGCGGTGGTACTGTATGTTTATCTGTTTATCGATCTAGTGATGCTGTTCTGCAGCACCCTTTTTCATTTACCAACATATCTTGGAGATTGCTCAGTGTCCTAACACTTCTTTCCTGGTCTCTAGCCTGTCTTTTTACTCTGTTAATGGTATCGTCTTCTGAACAGAAGTTCTTAATTCTAATACAGTCCAGCTGATTGTTCTTTCCTTTATGGTTAACATGTTTTGTTTCCTCTTTAAGAGTCTTTGTATCATGAAAACGTTCTCTTAGGTTTTCTTATAAAAACTTTGTTGCTTTTCTTTTTTATATTTAGGTTTATGATCCATCTGGATTTGAATTTTCTGTAGGTAGGAGATAAAGGTTCATTTTATTTTTATATATTGCTATTATTTATCATAAAGAAAGACCACCCCTTTTTAAAATTTCAATGCAGTGTCATCTTTATCCATTAACCAGGTGATATTATATGTGTGAGAATTGTTGTTTTCTTAAGTAATAGACTTTATTTTTTAGAATAGTTTTATATTTACAGAAAAATTGAGCAGAAAGTAGAATTCCCTCTCTCCTGGAACTTTCCTCTATTATTAACATCTTGCATTAGTGTGGTACATTTGTTGCAATTGATGAACCAATATTGACACATTATTATTATTAACTAAAGTCCATAGTTTACATTAGAATTTACTCTTTGCATTGTACAGTTCTATTGGTTTTGCCAAATGCAAAATGTCATGTATTCACCATTACAGTGTCATATTGGATGTAGTTTCACTGCTCTAAATTCTCGTGTTTCACCTACTTACCCTCTCTCCCCTCACCTCTGGCAACCATGAATAAAGCTGCTATAAATGTTCACGTGTGCAGGTTTTTGTGTGTAGACATAAGTTTTCAATTCATTTGGGTAAGAGTCTTGGTTTACTAGGAGCGTAATTTCTGGATTACATGGTAAAAGTATGTTTAATTTTGTAAGAAATTACCAAACTGTCAAAGTGGATGTACCATGAGATATAACCACACAGACATATATCTCAAGATGGAGGCAAGAAACTGTTTAGAGCAAGTGAATTAATAATGATCCTTGCAGATCAAAATAGGAATTTAACTAACTCGAGGTTCACAGTTCACTTATTAATTATTCATCTTCCTTTAAAAAAAAAGAGCTAAGACTGGGAAAGCCTGGGATCAATACCTTACAAATAACACAAGTCGAAGCTCTGAGAATCCCCACTCATCCACAGCACGGCTCCCTGGATGCCTCTGTTGACTGTTAACAAGTAGACAGCAAGATATTTCTCCTTCAGAATAGGTTTATTCAGGAACAATAAAGAATTCCAGGTCAGGACATGCGGTCTAATGGTGTACTGCATGGAGTCCAGAGGACAAAGGATTTGGGAGGGGTTGGTGTAAAAGGGTCCATCAAGGAAACTGAAAGTTTAAAGTATAGTGACTACATTGGCTAAGTGAGTTTACATTGGCAGCCTCTCATTGGCTGAAGCTGTTACTGAGCAAGGAGGAATCTTTTCTTCTTCCTGCTGAGGTGGCAATGTAGTCACTTCCTGTTGGAGATGCAAGGTCCGTTTCTTCCTGCTGTGCGGTGAGTGGCAGGTCCCTGAGAGTTTTTTTAGCCTCCTGACTCTATTTTAAATGAGTTTCTGTTTATTAATTTTCACATCTTCAGCGGCTCATCCATTTCTGCCAGTCTGGGTGCAGATTGGGAGATGAGCATAAACTCTCGAGTGAGACAGTCCTGGGTTCATTTGCTGGCCCTGTGGTTCATCAGTTGGTTGACACTGAACTTAGTTTCCTCATCTGTACTACGTCTAATAATTCATAGCCATCTTACATATGTTGTGAGCTTAAGTAACAATGGTGGTGAATATTTATTGAGAAATGTTGAAAGCCCAGGCCTTACTCTGAGTGATCAATCTGTTTTATCTCCCATAATTCTGCACAGGTAGGAATTCCAAAGCTGAGGCCTGAAGATTGATCTTTTTTAAACCTTCCCAGTTAATTTTGAGATCCTGTTTAGACAGTGATTAACCACTCAGGGTCTTAGAGACAAATACCTCTTTCTGTCACTCACTAGCTCACTAGGCTAAGTCTTTCAACCCCTACAGGTCTCAGTTTCCTCATCCATTAAATGGGAGCAAAAATTGCATCCACTTCTGAGACTTGTTCAGAGGGTGAAGTAAGTCAATTTAGGTACTGTGTCTGGCATACACAAAATGTTTGATAAATGTTAGCTGGTGCCATTAGGTCAACTCCTTTTTCTTAGGTGACTAAGAATCCAAGACCTTCTGACATTTGAGCATAGGTCACTCTGTCTTAGTTTAAATGTATTATTCTTCCAGCCACATGGTTTATTTCAAACCCTAAGTGTTGGGGAAAGAGGAGGTGGTGTGTTATAGTGGGAAAATCCTGTGTTTGGTCCAATGGGACTGAGTTTGAATCTATGTATCTGTTTGAGCCTCAGTTTCCTCATCTATAACATGGGAGAACAAGATTCTGCATTGCTGTGAGAATTACAGCTAATTCGTGTGAAAGGTACAACATCTAGTCATTGTATTATTGTTGGTGTTTTTTTAATACAATGTGCAAGATGTGAAAACAAAAGGGCAGAAAACCCTTTAAAAATGGAAACAGGAAAAACAGAGGCAGAGGGTGGGGAGGGGACGGAAGATGAAAAAAAGCTGGGAAGGGCCTGGGGCTCAGGGACCTGGGAAACAGATTGCCACCTCTGTCCTCCACCTTTCCAGGCATGGCACTGGACAGGCACTGGTTACTACTAAACTGAGTATGGCCAGGGATGTGAACAGTGTTGTTACTCCTACGCTCGGCTGGGTCAGACCCACCCCTGCTTTTTTTGTTCTTTAATTTTGTTTTTTTATGGGGGAACAGTGTGTTTTTCCAGGACCCATCAGCTCCAAGTCAAGTCATTGTTTCAATCTAGTTTTGGAGGGCGCAACTCAGTGGCCCATGTTGGGATCAAACCAGCAACCTTGATGTTATGAGCACTGAGCTCTAACCAACTGAGCTAACTGGCCGCACTCCCACCCCTGCTTTTTTATGCAGGATCTCCCCACATTTCTGCTAGAGGCCTGCTTTGATCCAAGAAGAGCTCCTGCATACCATCTGGAGGGCTGGTCCATGACTTCAGTGCTGAGATTTGGGCCACTGCACGGAGGACATTTCCTCTCCCCAGGCCCCTTTCAAGGAAGGAATAACATTTAACTTGCCACAGGAATTCTGAAGCCTGTCTTTAAAAATTAAAGGGGTTATGAATACTAAATATAGTCAGCATAAATGCTTTCCACTAAAGCATGTCCAGCTTCCTGGTTTTTAGTTTGCATGTTGAACACATGCCCAATTTCTGAATGGTTGGAAATTGGGCACCTGTTCCTTTAAATAAGAAACGTTTCTTTCTAGAATGAGTCATCTCTGTTTTCCTTTTTTAGGAATCAAGTTTATTCTCTAGTGGTTTTTTGTAAAGGAATTTTTTTTCTGTCTTGCCAAACACGAAGTTCTGCCCTTCTGCTGTAGGGCAGTGTTTTCACAGTTCTTTTGTCGCTTGTGATTTTTTTTTTTTTTAAAGCCCCTGATTTTGCTAGTAAATTCTGAATGTGGAGAACAGAGAAACAGGAAGTGAGCCCTCTGGAGAAGGCAGAAGAATCTATCTGGTGGAATGATCGAAAGTGAAAGAAAACTTCCTGGAGGCGTTTCCATCCCTACCCTCTCAGTTTCAAGGGATTTTTCTCTGGTTGTGTGGATAATCAGACTTAGGAATTTGAGCGTGTGAAATGAGGCAGTGTAAGGGTCTTGGCATCGGGAGACTTGGTGACTGTGTTGCTGTAACAGGGTGGAGCAGGTGAGTGCCTGGTGCGGAAGTGGCTGCTAGAGACCGAATTTCTTACCTCCGACAGGCTCAGTGGGACTCTTCCCAACAGCCCAATGCTCACAATTCTGGGTCCTTCCAGGATCGTCTAGTGGGATTTCTCTCTGAACTACAGCCACTTGCCTTGCTACCTCTTAACTCTGGAAATCTCACAGTCTCCTCGGAATCCCCAATACAGACACAGTACCTCTCTCCTGCTGGAGTTTGGAGATTCCATAAGACTTTATTTACCTTCTTGGGTTTGTTTTCTTTTCCATTTGCCTTGGGGCAGAGGACTGAGTGAATCCTTCTGTCAGATCCTGATGGCCTGTGAACCTTGGTCTCTAAGGCCTACAGTCTTCTTCTCCCTCTGCCCTGTTCTAGGTCCTTTCTTTGATCTCCCCACTTCCACCCCACTTCCTACTCCTCTCCATGGCTCCTAAAGGACAACTCTTCAAATCTTCTGATATGTATCCCTGAATTGTTCTGTATTTTTGCAAAATTGTTTTGTGTGTACACACTATTTTTAAACTATGCGACCTGGAGCAAGTAATTACTGTCCTTGTGCCCCTGTTTCCTCGTCATTAAATGGGGTCAATACTATCCTCATGAGGTGGTTGTAAGGACTTAAGGAGATAATACGCGTTAACCACTTTCAACAGTGACTGGCACTACTAAGTGCCCAGTAAGTGTTAGCAATTATTATTAAATATGTATTAGTATTATTTGTATTGTGTTTTGCTCATTCCCTTTCTTTTTTAAAAAGTAAGTGCCCTGTACTTTAAATTCTATGTGTTTTGCCTGGTTCCACTTTCTAACCACTATGTAATATTACATGATGGACACTCTCCACCATCATATATGAAGACTATATAAGACTTTGCCCACCAATCCTTGACCTGATCCAACTTGCAAACCTTTGTCAATCTGATAGGTATAAAGTGGGTATCTCATTGCTTTATTTTGCATTTCCCAGGTTACTGATGAGTTTGAGCTTCATGTCATACACTTTGGTTATTCGAGTATCCCCGTCGGGGATCTCCATGTTTGTATCCATTGTCCTTCCACATGGTTTCATTTTCTTGTTGATTTTCAGGAAACCTTTGTATGTTCTAGATATTGCTACTCTCGTAGCAGGTCCTGGGAGCCCAGACATGACAGACATGTGAGCCCTTTGAAGCTCACAGCCTAGGTAGGACAGGAACTAGCCACAAAACAGTGGGACAAATGATGGGGTGGATGCTCAAAAGCCATCAAGAAAGAGTCAGGGAACATGTCCTGGGCTGGGATTTAGGCACTAATAGGATTTCACTCTGTTGTGTGTTTTCACTCAGACTTTATGAGCAGAATCAAGTGGTAGAGGAGGACACTGATGTTACTGTGGCACATTTACCTAGCCCACTACAGGGGAAAAGGCACTTTCAGATACCTTGTTTAATCCTCTTAGATATAAGATGGGTCTCTGTCCTCTGAAAGCTTATATTCCATTTGGGGAAAGAAAACAAGCAATTTCAATGGAGAGATGTTTGATTTTTTTTTTTTAATTTCTACTTTTAACATCAAAAAACATTTCAACTGACTCACAGCAAAATGGACTAATGTGTGTTTTGCTATTGTTATATCTCCCAGGCTCAGACTACAGTGAGGGCCCCAGGATATACCTCTTTGGTAAAGTGGGCTGGGTTGAGTCTAGGATTTTCTAAGCTACTAAAGGTGGGAGATGGTGGACTCGGGGCCCATGAAGGTGATCCTTGTATTTGAGTTCAATGGGGAATCCATGAGAGTTAGCTGTGAGAGTTAGCAGATCCTCTGTGAGCCATGGTGAAGGTCCCATAGTTTCTAGGTCTCAAGATCTCTCAGAAGTGCTCAGTCAATATTTATTGAATGAAAACATTAAAGTCTTCATAATGAACTTAGAAAAAATTGTAAATTCCTGAAATATGAAAAGAAAGTATTCTTAGTTATTACCCAATCCAACTTTCTAATTTAGGAATGTGATAATGGGACCCCCAAAGTGAAATGATCCGCCCAAAGTCACACAGCCAGAGCCAAATCAGGTGGCCGCATTCCCCACCCAACAACTTTATTTCCTGTTCACCAACTCTTTCTTTTGAAATTTTAGGAAAGACTATTCAGAGCACCCTATGTGAGTCAGAGTTGAGTGAAAACAGGAAGTAGAGAGATCTGTGTTCGTACTTCTCCATTCAGCTCGCACTCTTGCCATAAGTGCACCAGAGGAAAAGAAGCAGCCGTGTGGGTCCCAGGCCTGTGAAGAAGCAGCTGTGAAGGTCCCAGGATTTGCCTTTGGTCAGGTCAGTTGGGCCTGTGGAGAGGAAGGCCTTTGATTCTAGAGTTTTCTAAGATGCTTGGGATGGAGTCTGGTGTCCTTGGGGCCCATGGAAGTGAGCCTTTTATTTGAGCAGAGATGGGGAAGCTGGTGGAAGTCCCTCTAGATCCTCTAGGCCCGCAGATTCCAGAACTCAAGGCTTCCCAGCTTAGACTGATGCATTCCTGGGGGTTTTTCTGGAATGCTCCAAGTACAGCTGTCTGTAGAGAGGCCTTGTCTTTACATTGGCAAAACTTATCAAAGAAAAGAAACCAAAATTTAAATTTCAACTGACTTGGCTGCTACAGCTACCCATCAGCCAACACACACCCACCGGCATATATAACCACTAACATACACACACACACAAACACACATACACACAGTCCTAATAATTCAGTTATTTACTTATTTATTTTAGAAATTAAAAAGGTACAAAGCGGTACAGAGAATACTATAATAGCAAGCATAGACTGACAAAATCTGAGACCGTACTTGTGGGGTTAAACATTTATAGAAGAAGTTATGAATTTCATTCAATTTGAAAATTACATGGTTGGTTATAAGTTTTGTTGAGGTTTAAACACCTTTACTGGGCTGTGTGAAAGCACTGGCTTCAGGGCCCTGCAGTGGATAGTGTTTGTGTTCAGAGTAGACACCCGGCCAATTTGGGGTGGCCGGCCTGGTCTGGATGGAATGGCCACGCTATTGCTTAGGGGTTGGGCCTGAGAGCTACTTTCAAGTAGTGTTGAGCTTTGAGTGAGATGTAGATTTTTATCTCCGAAGGTTAATGCAAGTTTTGGATTTATTTTCCTCAACTTTGAGGTACTTATCCATGCCACTAAAGAAGCTAAGGTGCTGTTAGAATATTGCTAGAGGGACTGTTTGTGATTAGATGAAATTTATTGGCAATTAAATGGTGGCGTATAAGGCAGTGGTGGAGTTGTGACTCTGAAATGAGATGTTGAGGTCTAAATCCAGGCTCCAGCACGTACTGGCTTGGTTTGTAAGTTCTGACACTCTCTCTGCTATAGTGGATTTGTTAAGAATTCTCGTTTTTGTGGGTTTTGTGGGGGTTTTTAAATCTTTAAACATTTTAAATAATTTTAATCTTTAAAAATATTGCTATTATATGTTTTTCTTAGCTAAATTCCTTCACTGGCTTCCAACTGCAATTAGAATAAAATCAAAACCTTTACAAGGCCTGTCATTGAAACCCTTGACTGAGATGCTCAACTCTGAGCCCGACTCCTCTCTTATTAGCTTATTTCTAAACTGATTTTTCACAATAGTAAAATGTGGATGATAATAGCAGTTTTCTTCAGAGACCTGTAATAAAATGAGACAAAAAAATATTTTTATGTTTATATGAATTATATGTGATATACACATATATCTCAATATAAACGTTTATACTGAAATATTTTGAGGCATGACTATATTATAAAAATATTAAATATACTTATATATTATGTAATAAAAATGTATTTATATGAATTTATTATTTAAAAGATATTATATAATTGAAAGTAAAAGAAAACTTCCTGGAGGTATTTCCATCCCCATTCCTCTCCTCTACCTTACGTACATTATATATCAAAATATTCAAATGTATATATTTTACATGTGTATATAAACATTATATATGTGTGTTTATATTATAATTGTATATATAAATAAGTGAATAAAAATCTCCATATGTGACCAAAGAATCACTTTAAAAAAATTTTTTTTTTCGTAGAATAATGGCCAAAGCTATTGGGAAGAACAGTTTTAATATTTTTTTTATTCGTTGATTTATTTATTTTTTAATTTATTTTTATTGAGGAGTTGGGGGAGGAGAACAGCCAAGTTGCTGTCCTTTTGTTCTTTATTCTAGTTGTGGAGGAAAAATTTTTTTACAAGAGTTTATTTGAGCCAAAACTGATGACAATTGCCATGAAGCAAGATCTCAAATGCTCCCACTAAAGAATTACTTTTAAATAGTGAGCTTCTAATTCATTTTTCTTTTTATACTTTTCTGCATTTGCTCTAAGGAAAAGTGTTACTTTTACTATCAGAAAAATACAACAGTGAAATTTTTTTTTTAAACTATTACTTTAACAAAGTTTGTCGTCCATGAGCTTGTCCATAAACCTAGCTCCAGGGTCCCTGTAGTTAGAGCCCAGTCCCTGTGGCTAATGGTGTAAAATCTTGTGCAGGCGCTTGCTTCCCCAGGCACTATGACTAGAGAGATATGTGACCTAAATAAACAAACAGACAAAGACTGAATATCAATACCAATGTGTCCCAGAAAACCTGGAGCAGAAAAAAAGCTTTGCTACTGTTTTCCTACTAAGTGGCCATTTTGATATGATGGGGGAAAAAAAATCACTTCACATTGTCATGTTATTGCAGAGACAATGAAATGAGTGAGGTGAGCTGGCTAGAGAGGACAGGAGCCAAGCACCAATCGTGTTATATCTAAATTCATGCTCTCCTGGCTTTGGATTGTATTTTTTTTTTAAATATAGTAAATACTGTCAGAAAATGCTATTGAATAAGAGCCTTAAAACAGTTTATTCCTTTGACTCTGTAATACTTCTTCTAGGAAATTATTCTAAGAAAATAATCAGAGGTGTACATGGAGATATGCATTTTAAGATCATCCTAAATGTTATCACAGACTAGTTACATACATTATGGTCCATTCATGTGATTAGATGCTTTACAGATTTAAAAACCCATGCTGTAGGAGAAAAAAATGAAGACATCAAGATGTACTTATAATACTATCAGTGGAAAAATCTACTTATACCTCAGGAATATGGTGTGTTTGAATATGAGGAAAAATATATATACATAAAATATTTAGTAGGAAAGACTAAAATATTTTAGGTGTTTATCTTTGGATGATGGAATTATAGGTAATTTTAATTTTTAAAAATCTTTTCTGTATTTTCTAAAATGAATATAATAAGGATTGTTATCAGAAAAAAAATAATTGTGGAGGGAAAAAAGAAGATTCTGCTTACATTAAATTCTGTAGTTGATTTTATCCTGTAAAATAAGATTTTCACAGTGGTTAGAACTGATTTAAAAATCTAAAGACACTGAACCTAATGGTACTAAAGAGGGCTGGACCTAGTTTAGATCTGTTTCAGTATATGAATAAAAACCCATCTTTAAATAGATACCTTTTAGTTTAGGTATATGTACATTTAGAATGCACATGGTACAAATTTTAAAAGGGGAAAAAAAGGTTTCACTTTCTTGTTTACCTCAAGGTCTTCCTTACACTCACCCCAGACCTCTAGTTTCTCTCCCTTGAGGCAACCCCTGAGCAGCCTCCTGTGTGTTTTGTTCAAAGATCTGTGAATATACAAATCTATGTATCACCTACTAACACATTATATAGATCACACATATCCAACCATGTTGATCTTTCCATTCTTTTAAATAGTTGAATAGAGTACCATCAGATATGATTAATAGCTTATTGAACTCTTCTGATATTGATAAACAGTTGTCCCTGCTCTTTTGTTATTTCAAGCAATGCTGCCATGAATACCCTTGTACATATGTCTTAGTACACTGATATTTAAGCTACTGTAGGAAAAACTCCTGGAAGTTAAATTGTGGGGTCAAAGGATATGTACATTTTATATTTTGACTGATATGGCCAAATCACTCACCTACCTGTTTTTTTTTTTTAAAGATTTTATTGGGGAACTAGGGGAGTGGAACAGTGCTGGGGAATCGGGGAAGGGGAGCAGACAAGTTGCTGTCCTTTGTTCTTCAGTCTAGTTGTGGAGGACTCGCTTCACTGGCCCATGTTGATATTATCATTATGCTCTTCCCGGGTGAGGCAGATCGGTCGCCGGCCATTGGACGGCCACTCACGGCGGCTCTTGGCAGCTCACAGTAGCTTATGGCAGCCCCCGCCATCTCTGGTGACTCGAGGCAGCCCAGCTCCAGGTCGAGCTGTTGTTCACTATCTTAGCTGTAGAGGGCGCAGCGTCACTGGCCCTAATGTGGGATCCGAACTGGGGCCCTACTGCTCAGAGCCGACATCCCAAGCCAACTCTTAACCAACATGCCACTTGGCTGGCCCCTCACCTACCTGTTTTTATTTCCACCAGATTACAACACCGTGTATTGCAAGTTTTGTGTTTCACCAATTTGGTAGTTGAAAATAGTTTTCTGTAATTAAAATTTTCTTTTTAAAAGATTATTGTGATGTTGAACATATTTTCAAATGTTTAAAAGCCATGTGTTATAAAAAATAAAGCCACCGGTACTGTATTTTCTCTGAACTGTCTACTCATGATTTTACCTGTTTATGCATTGGATTGTTCTTTCTCTCTTCTTAAAATTGACTTATAGGAGCCTTATTTTAAGAAAATTAGTCCATTTTCTATCTTATATCATCATATCATCCCCCTTTTTTCCCCAATGAAAGATTTATTGGTTTTTTTAAAATTTTGTTTATTTTAGTTTTTAAATAAGGACATTTACCAACCCTTCTTTAATGGCTTTCAGGCTTTCTGTTATACTTAAAAAGGTTCTTCACCACTGCAAGATTATTTTTAAAAATTCTCCTATGTTTCTTTCCTTAGTATTTTAATTTTAATGATTAAATCTTTGAGCCATCTGCAGTTTATTTTGATGTAAGGAGTTCAGTTAGGATTCATTTCAGTTTGTTCTAGAAGTCTTCCCAATTGTTCTAACACCATGTGTTGAAAAAGTCACCTAAATGTGGCTAGCTTTTTTTGTAGTGTGTTCAATTTGGCCATTTTTTACTAACTTCCAATTAACACATTGCTAACTTCTAATAACCAGAGAACATGGACTATATTATTTCTGCTTTTTGGAAATTTATCAAGATTTTAAAATTTATTAAGACTTTTCCTATGTTGATATTTTGTATGTATATAAAAGGATGTGTATTTTCTATTGAGAGGAAATGCCTATTAGATAGAGTTTGTCAATTGTGCTATGCAGATATTCTACAGTCTTCTTATATTTAGTCTACTAGATTTTGTTAGTCCCTGAGAGAGATGAATGAAAATTTCCTGCCATTTTGGGGGAAAATAAATTTTTTGAGTTCTCTTAAGTTCTTTTTAGAGTTTAAAATCATTATATTTTGTTTTCTTTTAAGAACACAAATGTGATTGTACCACTCCTCTGTAATCTGGTCTCTTTGCCTGGTGTTGTCTGCCCTCAGTTTTCCAAAAAGCCTCATTTCCTACCCATCCCCCCTCACTTTATTACACTCTCTTAAACACAAGAACACATCCAAGCTAGTATTTTAACATTAATTTCATTTACACAGATAGCATCTGCATAAATTTTCCTTAACACATTACAGGAAAAGAAAAATTTTCTTACGCCTTCACCCCCAAATTGTAGTTTTCGCCTGTTTCCCAGAAGGAGCAACTTTATATGTTTGGTATGTCTCTTTCCAGACCTCCTTCCCTTTTTATTTTCTGCTTTTACATATATGTCTGTAATCACTGAAAATCTATTGTATTGCTTTAGGTGTATGACTTTTTTGTTATTTGCAAGTTGCTTTTTTCCCTGTCATAATAATAACATGTCTTGGATATTCATTTTTATTTCAGAAGAGGAAGTGCATTTTCTTAACTGCTGCATAATATTGTATAGTATGACTATACCTTAGTTTATTTAGCCATTCCTTTATTGAAGGACATATGGAATGTTTCTAGTTGTTTGGGATTATACATCATTCTGTGATGAGACTCCAAGAACATACCCTGTTGAGCACATGTGTGTCTCTGTAGTGTGATTTAAGGACTTGAGCTTGCTAGTTTGTCCCCTTGCATGGCCAGCAGTTTTTGTTTATTGCACTTCGAAAATATGCTGTTAGGTACTAGCCATTTATTTAAGATAACTTTCCTAAATAAAAGTATTTTCATGATAATCGATTGCTTTTGCAGGGAAATATCTGTATCCGACTTTAGAGAGCCAGGTCCCAGTTTTGTTCCCATGAAGAATCCATACAAACACTGCTCCAAGGGCTCTTTCACAGGCCTATCAGAGCGGGGAGAGTAGGCGAGAAATCAGTCAAGGTGACTCAAGGGCTTCAAAGGAGGAGAAACCCTAGATCCTGGAATGCTTTCATGGAGGTTGTTTGAGTTTCCTGAAACACTGCCCTCTCTTTTTTTTTTTCTCACCTATTTAAATGTGCAAGTGTTTGAAAAGACTGCATTATCTGATTTAGAGACTTTGTTGAAAGGGTTGCCCGGGTTGACCTGGTTCTGCTTCCAGTCTCGGGTTCTTGACCAGCAGTGGGAGCTTCTCCTAAGGCCTGTGGAGGACAAGGCTAAATCATGTCCTCCCACCACCATTGTTTCAGTCAGACCCTATCACTTCTCTGCCTCCAACCCTTCCAATCTGTTCTCCACACTTTAAATGTTAATTCCAATCAGATGACATCATCCTCATGTTTATAATCCTTTCTTAGTTCCCCATCACCTCCAGGACAAAGCCTGAGCCCTTAGCCCCATAATTTGAGGCCCTGTGTAGGGGTTCCTGGCCACAGCTTCATCCTTTTGTCCCATCACTCCCCATCCCAGGCCCTTCTAGCTTACTTTATTGAGCTCCTAGTGCCTGTCTGAACTGACTTGAACATTCTTGACTCCATCTTTTGCATAAATTATTTCCTGCAAGAATTGTCCTTTCCCACCGCCTCCCCAAAAGTGCCTTCCCTCCAGGAAGCCCTTCTCCCAGGCTTTATATTCCTGGTCACAGCTCTCTACCATTGGCTAGTTTGTATATCTACCTTCCTAAACAGTAAGCTACCTGAGAGCAGGAGCTTGTCCTGTTTGTTTTAGCTTCCCTATCTCCACAGCACAATGTCTGGTATATATTGTAGTAGATGTATTGGGTTGTTGGAAAAGCCATGATGTATTTTTTCTATGTTTTTCATTGCAAAAATGCATCATGACTTTTCCGACAACCCAAACATAGCATTTGATGCAGGAACAAACCAGTAAATGGCACTTTTCTTCCTCATCTGAACATGATATTGTATTTTGACCTAGGCTATAACTACATTCAATTAACACTAGACAAACATGAGTTTCAGCAGTTGTCTCTATGATATTGGGGAACATCTGGATGGTGATGACTTGGCTGCCCTCAAGTTCCTGAGCCTGGACTACATCCCACAGAGGAAGCAGGAACCCATCAAGGATGCCTTAACGTTATTCGAGAGACTCCGGGAAAAGGGAATGTTGGAGGAAAGCAACTTGTCCTACTTGAAGGAGCTGCTGTTCCGAATTAATAGAATGGATTTGCTGGTCAAATACCTGGACACCAGCAGGGAAGAGATGAACAAGGAGCTTCAGACACCAGGCAGGGCTCATATCTCTGCCTACAGGTGGGAAGAACCTCCACAGTGTGGGCACTGGGAGGCATGGGGGGAACGGACACATCTTTGTGGGCAGGATTGATTTCAGGTTGCCTGTGTAGTGTGACTTTGGAGGCTCTGGGAAGATGTCCTACCATGGCCAGATTAAGAAATTTAGAGGCCTTATGTATAATTTGGAAAAAAATGCTAAAACCATAAAATAAATTTTTTTTCAAAGTGAAACATTACTTATAAATATGCTGACATTAAAATAGACTTTTTCTAAATGTTCTAACTCTCTCACTTTCTGTTATGTGTCTATTATCTCGGTGTCTCTGCTTTGCTGATGCCCACATTGTGTGCTTACTTTGTCTATGATTGGATCAAGCATCACTATTTCCCACCCTGAAATCCTCTTCCCACCTGCTTGTGAATGACTACAGAAATTCTCAATGGAGTTTTAGGCTTTTATCCACACTTGCTTTACAGAATTCCCCAGTGAGGTGTATGTTGCCAGTCGTTCTGTATTGGCCAGGCTGGACCCCACAGAGACCACTTAACCCCTGTGAGGCAGGCTGCTGCTGCTAGAAGGGTGGCAACTTGGGTGTCAGTCCTGCCAAAGGCCTTGCAGCTAGACCTCTCCACACCTGTGGGACAGCAGGTAACCTACAGGTTATAGATCACATTCAGTTACATCTTTGTGATTCTTAAGACCTCAAAAATAGAAACACATTACCAACTTCTATCTTTCAAAAATCCCCTGTTCTCAGACACTCCTTAGCTATTTTTAGTTTTTCAGGAAGCTTCTACTCAAGCCTTGGGTGCAGCCCATTTCATTGTCTCTGCTTGCTTGTCAATAACTGTATTATGTACAACATTAAGTCCTCACAGCCAGGGCTGAAAGCCTCTACCCCCAGTTAAACCAGCCTATTAATGCCCTGGTCTTACTGTTCTCAGAGACTCGAGATTCTGGCATGTTCCTTGTCATATCCTCTTCTTGAGGCTTCATCATTTTTATTTTAATGACAAAAGAGACATTCTGAGTGTATTTCTGTCCTAGGGTTGCCGTAACAAAGTCCTATAAACTGAGTGGCTTAACACAGTAGAACAACTTATTCTTTCATAGTTCTGGAGGCTAAAAGTCTAAAATCAAGGTGTCAGCAGGGTTGGCCCCTTTTTGGAGGCTCTATGGAGAATCTGTGTCATGCTCCTCTCCTAGTTTCTGGTGGTTACAGGCAACCCTTGGTGTTCCTCGCCTTGTAGATGCATTGGTTCAATCTCTGCCTCCTGTTCTCCTCTCTGTGTCTGTTTGTCTGAATTTCTCTCTTCTTATAAGGACCCCAGTCATTGGAATAAGGTTCACTCTAATCTAGTAAGACATCATCTTAATGAGATTACAACAGCAGAGACCCCCCCCCTTTTTTTTTTTTTTCTAAATAAGGTCACATTGACACGTTCTGGGTGAACGTGAATTGAGGAGGAGAGGGAAAGAAGACACTATTCAACACTGTTCAATACTGGGTAACTTTGGTTTAATAGGATTGTTAAGTTCTTTTAAGGAATTTTTAAATAAAGGCACCAATTAGCCCTAAAACTCAGCCCCAGAACTAGGAAGGTTGGAAGGTCTCATCTTGTGCCCACTGTCTTGGTCTTCGGAGGTTACACTCCTTCTGCCACGTGAGTCAGACTCTGAGACAAACTGCCAATGCCAGACAATGGCCTGCACCTCTCTGTTGGAGGGTCAAGAGTCACTGACAAGGGCAGGACCTGTCAGTTAAAACTTTCATGTTAACTTGGGAGTAAAAGGCTCAGCACAAGCACAACTTACTGCTTATTCATCATGGTTGAACATTAGCCAAGAAATAAAAAACGACCACTTTACATTTATAAGGAAACACTACACATTTTAATTTTCAAATTATAATTGCTACTTATAAAATAAGTGTCTTATAAATGATCCAGGTTAATTAATGTCTAGACAATGATGGTACAAGAAAGCCAGTACGTTACAGTAATGAGGAAAGCAAAAGTGCAATATGCCTTGTTATAAAGTTAAAAGGGTAGCTTTGATCAAATCTTGACCAATCTTGACCAAAGTAAGAAAGCCTTAGGGAAATATTTCTAGGATAAGAAGTTTCCATGAGAAGTGGATGAAGCAGATGATAATACTGAGTAATTTTCTATTTCTACACTATTTTTATTTTCAGAATTTAAATTTAATTTTGAAATTAACATATTTTTGTGTTAAAGTTATTTTCCTTTACACTATAATAGTGAAAGGTTTGCTGACTTCTAAAACATTCCTTTGTTCATTTAACAAGCATATCCCAAGAGCCTATCATAATTCGGAAATAGTAGTGCCTATCGTGTATGGAGCACTTAGTCTGTCGTCAAAGATTAGTTTAAGCACTTCAGATAAACTTATTTATGTAAGCCTCAACATGTCTTAACGGTGTAGATATAGTATTATCTACAGCCTACAATGAGGAAAAAAAATGTGTAACAGTCTGAAGTCACCCAGCTCATAGATGGTGGAACCAAGTTTCCAACACCAGTAGTCTGGGTCCCCTAAATGTAAACACTGTACCTCACAACCCTCTGGGCTTATGGGAAAAAAAAGAGCATGGACCCTGCTCTCAGGGGACTTGGACAGCTTTGTAAACACACAATTATATGTGTTACCTTTCATGGGGTACAAAGGCACAGTGGGGTGAATGCAACCCTGAGGGCACTCAGGCAGTGCTTGAGCTGTTAGTGGATGAGTAGGGTTGTCTGAAAGTAGACAAGGGAATGGGACTGAGGGGGGCACAGCATAAAGTGGTGAGGGGCAGGGAAGCTGGGTATATTTGGAGAAGAGATGGGCGAGGGTGGTTAGGAGTGGCTGGAGATGAGGAGGCAGCCTGGGCTCAGTTCACAAAGGTCTGTCTTACAGAGCCAAGTACTTGGCCTTCCAACTGAAGGTAACAACTGGGAGAATACTGCCAAGTTTTAATTAAGAAAGTAATGATCTGATTTGCATTTTTGCAATGATCTGAAAAGCATAATTTTCAAAATCAAAACTTTTTTATTGCAACAAGATCATGATTTTATAGTGAAGACAAAGGAAACCACAAATCATTTAACTGAACTTAACTGAAGGACAAAGTTAGTAGAACTTTATATTCTGTTAAAGGTGGGATAGCTGGGCATGAGTCACAGTCTTTGATGTCACTACACCAGCCTCTTTCCAAGGACTCAACTCATAAATCATGTCATTAACTGGCTTTATTTTAAAGGGAGGCCATTGGAATCAAGTCTGCTATGCCTCTATATATCAAATGGGAAATTATTTAAGAAAGCATTTCTCAAGTGTCTCCGTTTCCCACCACAGGGTCATGCTTTTTCAGATTTCAGAAGATGTAAGCAAACTGGAAGTGAAGTCCTTTAAATTTCTTTTGAGCCAGGAGATCTCCAAATGTAGACTGGATGATGACATGGTAAGCCCTGTTGTCGCACCAAGATTGAGTCCTGAGTCAGGCAGTGGGGATTTCTGAGACTGAAGAGAGGGCTACTCTGGTAAAAGCAACCCAAATTCTCATTTTTGAACCAGGGGAGAAAAAGAAAGGTGTCAGGCATGAGTGTTGTAGATTTGATTCCTTTGTATACTATAAAGCGCTGCTCATGTTAATTATCAGGAGCAAGGCAGTGTCAGAGGAATAGAAGGCTGGTTATGGGGGCATAGCCCAGTGTGGGACTCTGCAGAGCCAGGAAGACAGTGGTGGGCCTGAGACATTTCCCCCACTTCTGCAGTCTCTGAAACAACCTGGGACCTGGAGGTGTGTGTGTGTGTGGTGTGGTGGTGTCTGTGTGTGGGGGTGGGGGTGGGGGTGGTTTTGTGTGTCTGGGTGTATGGCTGTGTGTGTGTCTGTGTATGTGGATACAGTACCAGAGGCAACGGTGGGTGTGAAGCAGTCCCCAAGGTTGTTACCATGAAGACCAGGCTGCTGAATCTCAGCCATATACCTTGGGCTATTTCACAGTCTTCATATAAAGATATCCACAGACTTTCAGCACAGGGGCTAGGACCTGGCGACTGAGTGATGTCTGATGTGGCTTCTCCTCTGCTCACTTCTGTCTTTCTGGGCCAGGAAACACAGAATTGCCTCCCTAGTAGTCTTTGTAAGACCATATGTCCTCTCAAGAAGGTCTGGTTGGGAAGTTAGGGTGGGTCCTTGGTTTGGAGAAAGTGAAAGTAAAAAATCCAATCTAAAAGCCAATATGGCCCAATTCTGTCTTCCAACTTTATTTCTCCTCCCTCTAGACGTTGCTTGATATTTTCATAGAGATGGAGAAGAGGGTCATCCTTGGGAAAGGAAAATTGGACACCCTGAAAAAAATCTGTAATCAAGTCAACAAGAGCCTGCTGAAGAAAATCAATGATTATGAAGAATTAAGCAGAGGTAGAAACAACCTGATAGCTGTGAATCAGCAAAATGTATTCTTAAATTGACAAATTCCCCTGTGTCACAGTGTTTCCAATCAAAAATGTGTTTCTATTTTAATTCAGAAGGAAGAATGAGCCTTTGTTAAAGGTTCATAAATAGCCAAAATAAAACCAATGAATCATGGTAGTAATTAACAGAAATTTATTAAGCATGTACCAAAAAAGACAGTTTGCAAACTGAAAGCATTCAAAACAAAATGTGGAATGAGGTTCAGAGCAGAAGTATGTTGTTGTTATAGAGCAGCTTATATAGTGAGAAAGCAGTAACTGTCTATTCTTCACAGTGATTGATTAGAATGTTAGAATTTTCTTAAATAAGGGATTGGTCTGTGGTTACTTCATATCATCAATTTTGGAAAAAAGTTTAAGTTTTGCTCATGGTTTTCAGAGACATAAGCAAGAAATGGCTAAGGTCAAATTAGTCTTGCAAAATAAGCAAATTAAGCTTTGCTTGTATGATTAGACTGGTTTTGTTTGCTCAGGGAGTTTTCAAGGCTGGTCTCCATTTGTTTTTTATTTTAACAACTTAAAAAAAATCCAGATGAATTTTCAGGAGTAATATTTGGAGCTATGTTTTCAAGATTTATTTAGTTAATTTGCTCTGATCCTCATTGCTTGTTCTCCACAACCTTCCACTACATCCACATCTTAATGGACCTGTGGCCGAATATCAGGATGATTGCTCGGTGGCTACCTGTTGTCCCCATCTTTACACATTGAAAGCAGTAAAAAGAATTGTCATGTGGCCCCAGCCTGGCAAGTTTGAAAAAAATGCAGTCAGTCAGTAATAAGATTTTTACCTGTTATGTGAACTGCAAGGATATTATGTTCAAGGAAGTCGTGAATTTTCATGTTAAAAGGAACTTTGTGTTGTCCTCCGTACCACATGTTTCTTTACCAAAGTATCTTTCCTCTCAGGTCTCATTCCAGATGTGTCTCAATTGTATGTGGGGGAGGGGTCGCTTGGGATGCTGTCAATGTCAGACTGCCCAAGAGAACACGGCTATGAGTCACGAGAACAGGACAGTGAGCCACTACAGGTATGAGGAAACCTTCCGTTCCTTCTTCTTTTTGCATTGCAGAATCTAGTTGTATTCCTCAGCTTTTTTCTTTTCTTTTCTTTTTTTCTTTTTTCTTTTTAGCTTCCAAACAAACTAATAAGGGACAGAAGCTTAGTGAAAATTTTGAGAACTGTAGAAAAAAATTCACAAAAGGGCAAGCTTAAAGTGTGACTTTTTCATTTAAAAAATATGATTTCTTGGGTTTCCTATGTTTTACATTTTTACTTTAAAACCCAAGGCAAAGACATTGTAACAATTGGAGGGCAGCGGGGTAAGAAGACGCCTACCTAACCCTTTCAGCAGCTACATCAGCCTAACTGGGAGAGGGCTTTGGGGGAAGAGTCTAGCAGGACTGGAAAGAGCAAAGCCTTTTCTTTTAGCTTGACATTTCAAGACTATTTCTTCTTTGCGATTAGGTTTAAGCAGCAAACGCTCATGATCCAGCCATCTCTGTGCTGTCATCTCAATGAGCCAGTGTGAGACTTGCCTTTCTAGACACAGTCACATCTGTTTATGTAACCTTCAACAATTGACTAGACACAGTCTGACTCTTTAGCCCATTCGCTCCTCTCTGTGGCGGGACGCAGAGGAAACCCTGAATACTACGAGTCCAACAGGAGACTTGAAATTAAGCTTGAGAGAAACAATTTGCTAGTGGTCTCCTGCTCAAATTGCCAGACTTCTCTCAGTCTGAAAATCAAGGATTAACCAAAGTCCTGTGGTACTTTGCAAAGTGTTGTCCCCAAGGAAAAGCTAAGTTTACTGAGTGCAAGAGAGATGAACTTGCTCAAAGGTTTAAGGCTCTTAAGTAGTAGAGCCAGGAATTTGGCCCCCACGCCTGGAGCTCTTTTCTCTATCTAGAGGAGCTGCATGGATTTCCCTATAAATGCGGACTATCTCAGCATTGAAACAGCCCTGAGAAAATCAGGACAATGCAGGGCCACCTCTGATGGATGCTGTCAGGTATTAAGAGTCTGGATACTGTAACCTGCAGCATAGCCAAGACCTGCCTGACCAGCGCATCTCTCGCCTCCATTCGCTGTGGTCCTGAGAGTCAGATTAAGCTACCAGCTTTAAAAATCCTGGGACCACACTATGCCATGTGTGATGGGCAGGCCATCGGCTGTTAGCCCAGAAGCATGGAGGAGTTGAGTAGGCAACCAAAGGAATCACAAAATCAAGGAAAGGCAGCCCAAAGACAGTGCTAAGAGCCATTCATTCAGCAACTCCTGATCGAGCTCTCCCAAATGAATAAATCCTAGTTCCTGACACAGATGTCATCTGCCTTGAGCAGAAATGAGAACAAATAATGATAATACATTATGAGGACAATATTAATATAAGCGCGAAGTGTTCAGGAGGTCCAAGTATTGGGGCATGGACTCTATACACTTACTGTGGGGCAGAAGTATGGGGATTCTGTGTTAGGGAACAGGCGGAAACGGGTTCGTTAGGGAAACAATGGCAAGTTGGGTTGGAGCCATGGAATGAGCACTTGCGGCCCGGTCTGGCTTAGGGAACAGCTTAACCTCTTATCGGGGAGTTGTATGTTCATATCTCAAGTGTTTGACCCACAGAGTCAGCTCCTGGGTTGGATTTTTGTTTTTCAGACATCGGACAAAGTTTACCGAATGGAAAGCAAGCCTCGGGGGTACTGTGTGATCTTCAACAATCATGATTTTAGCACAGCACGGAAGGATGTGCCCAAACTTCACAGGATGAAGAACAGAAGTGGAACCGACTTCGATGCAGGTACAGTAAAACCCAAAAAAGAAGTGAAATATTTCTAATACATATATTTTTATCAGAAGCGGAGAACAAAATCTGTACCAACAGAGCCACATGTTTGTTTTCTGTTTTTTAAAATGGATATAACTATACTTCCCTATAGAGGTGAAGAACACTCTTCCATATTTGCTAGTTTACTGCTTTTCTTTTTTTATTTAGTTTTTAAAATCCAAGCAATGTGTATATTAAGATAAAATATCAAATCTTACTAAAAGGCTTATACTGAAAAGCAGCAATAAGCTTTGCTTTTAATTCAACTAAATGAACAGTTCTTCTGTAGAATGTGTTAGGTATTACAATGTGTGAACACATTGCCTTGGTACCAAGAGCACTAACAGAAGTTGCATTTATAAAAGAGTGCAGCAGAAATTGTGAGTCCTCAACAGAAATAGCATTTTCAAAGATTAAACTAGACAAATCCTTTTGCTCAGCCTATTTCAGCAAAGATTGAGAACTTACAAGTTAAATGAAAAAAGCAATTTGCAGCCTGTGGACATAGAAATGGCCACAAAATAAAAGTAATCACAGAAACAATCCAATCCAACCTTTGTGATATTAAGAATTTTTAAATGGTTTTTACAGGTCACAACATCAGGTAATGACTTATTTTTTTTAATTGAGTAAAGTTTAGGGAGTTAAGGTAGGCTGATTTTAATCATCAGGACTCTGCTAAGGTCTCTGTTAACATTTGTTTATTCAAGCAAATCTAGTCTGTGCTTTTAAAAAGCCAGAGGTTAAGTCCATTGGCTACATCATTCATCATTTTATATGTTGGTGCTCAAGAAAAGGTTTCAGGCCTTTGATTTCCATTCATTTAATATTAAAACTTTTTTAAAAATAATATTTGATTGTATTTCTGGCATTTTGGTCAAAGGGTACGAAGTTGTAGGTAAGTAGGATGACTGTCTAGAGATCTAATGTACAGCATGGTGACTAGTTATTAGGTTGGTGCAAAAATAATTGCGGTTTAAAAGGTTAGAAATAATAGCAAAACCACACACTCTATTGAATACTAGAAATATGATAGGACTATATTTCACTTGCTCTCATCTCTCTCTCCATCACACACACGGTAACTATGTGCAGAGATACTCATATTATTAGCTTGACTGTAGTAATCATTTCACTATGTATATCATCATGTTGTATACCTTAAATATATACAATTTTTATTTTTTTAAAAAGGAGTCAGATAGGCAGCCAGAAAATATTGAAAGACTTTAACTAGATCTATGAGAGCATTTTGGGGAAAAATAATGTTAAACATACAGAAAATAAAGCGATAAAAAATAATGGGATTACTAATTCCAGGAAAGACAAAAAGTTTAATAAGAAAGGAAGCAAAATTAAAGAATATTATGTTTACATAATACTAGTAATACAAACATTACTACTGATTCAACTAAAAGTTGTAAATAATTGTGTAAGAGCACCAAAGGCTCATCACCCATAATAAGAATTCAATACAAAGGTCTAAAATTTATCAGTGAATGAATAGCAATGCACCCAAATTTATTATAAAATGGAGGCTAATACTAAAAAAGAAAAGTAGTTAAAAGTTGAAAGTGGTTGTCTTCATGGAACATTACTGGGTAATAGGGAGGGGTAGAGAGGTGATACTATTTTTGTAATAGGTCTTTTAGTTCTACTTGACTTTTTAAACATTCATATATTTTGACAATTTTGAAAGGATTAGGAATAAAATAAGTATGGATCTTTTATTCAAAATTGTTTTTGGCTTTTGTATTCTGATTATATAAGTAATACAATTATTTTTTAGATTGGTTTGGCAGGAAGCCTAAACAATAGCTTACCCATCTTGTAGACTAGTTGAGATAACACAACAGGCTAACAATAGTACTCTCTTTTTTTTTATTTGCCTCAAGACTGGGAAATGTTTTCAGCTGGTGGCAGTAAATATTAGAAGCCTGTAGAATTCAGTCACTAATATAGAGGGTCTTGTTCTTACGTTCTGCTTCAAATTCTTATCTGATCAATGTTTTCTTTAGTGGTGAGCCTTGTTCTGGGAATTACTGTGGTATAATATGACTTTTCTTATTTCACTTTTCAGAGGCTTTGCGCAACACCTTTAGTAAGCTTCATTTTGAGGTAGTGCATCACAAAGATTCAACAGCAAAGGACATCTGTGAGATTCTGAAATCCTATCAAAGCATGGACCACAATGATAAGGACTGCTTCATCTGCTGCATCCTCTCCCATGGAGACAAGGGCATCGTCTATGGCTGCGATGGGCAGGAAGCTCCCATCTGTGAGCTGACCTCTTACTTCACTGGTTTGAACTGTCCTTCCCTTGTAGGCAAACCCAAAATCTTTTTTATTCAGGCTTGCCAAGGGGATAACTACCAGAAAGGTATAGCTGTTGAGACAGACTCAGAACAGGAGGAAGCTTATTTAGAAATGGACTCATCATTTCAGAAGAAATATATCCCAGATGAAGCTGACTTTCTGCTGGGGATGGCTACTGTGAACAACTGTGTTTCCTACCGAAACCCCATGGAGGGGACCTGGTATATTCAGTCACTTTGCCGCAGCCTGAGAGAAAGATGCCCTAGGTAATTTTCCCTACCCAATCCCTCATTCATCAATAAACATCTAGCCGTAGATCACATAGTTGTACTTCCCAGGTCAGTTGCAAAGTGGGATAGAGGGCAATTGTTAACATCTTTAGTTCATAGATAGAAAGAACTGAGATACTTACTGAGGAGTTTCCTTTTTAGCACCTCAAAGGACAATCAAGGTATCATATTGCTAGGGAGGATGATGAAGTCATATAGTCTAGCTCGGCACTTAAGCAGAAAAATGACTGTTCCATCTCTACTAGAAAACTTCCAAGAAATCTTGCAAGAAGGCAGTAACCCATTTCAATGTTTAACATCTAACTCTGTCAAAAGTTCTATAATAGCTAACCAACTTGGTGTATTGTGGTAGATAAGTACCAAAGAATAGAAACCCTTTATAGTTTTACTAATTTGGTCTGACTTTAATCCACAAAATGTAGGAAAATATCCTTCCCTCATTTAAATATCCTATGCTTCCTTTATTTAAATGATGGTTTTTTTATGTCACAGTTCACCCAAATGCACATACAACTGACCAATAGCCAAGTTCCTTCTAGTCCTATATCTCATTATGTTTTAAGTGTATGAAGAGTGAGAATTTTCCATGATAGATAAAGGAGTGAACCATAACATCAATACCATGTTTTCATTTTGGAATTTAAACTATAAGTCCTGCAATGTTCTGGGGCTATCTTTAGAGGTGGATGAATAGGTTGCCCAATTAAACTGATTAGAGAGACTGGTGAGAAAGGGGTAAGGTGGCCATAGGAGACATCCAATTTTTACTTGCCTAAAGTTTGATTGCATCATAAATGAATCCACAGAAGCAATGTCAATATAAGGCAGAGTGTGTTAGGGGGCACTGAGGTGATTTTGGGGGCAAGTTACATAGTACATGGAGCAGAGTGATGTACAAACAGGTTGGGAGGAAATGAAACCAAATCTGATGTTAACACTGAGGTTTCTGATGGTCTACAGAGATCCTGAGTAAACCAAAGATAAGTTATTAAGCTCTGAGACAACTCCTTTACCTGGAAAGCTGTGGTACATCTTGGTTTAGCAACTTATTATTTCAAATGCTTGTGAATAAGGTGGATGAGGACACACGGTAATGTTTTTATTTGATAGAAATTGCTGTGTGACACGGAGCGTTGTTTATTTCAAATGTTTTGAGGGAAATATCTATCATAAGCACATCAGATGAAAGGGTTTGCCAGTTGTTTTTCCCTCACAGATGGTCAAAATGTTATTTTGTGTTTTTCAGAGGTGAAGATATTCTCACCATCCTCACTGAAGTGAACTTTGAAGTGAGCAATAAGGACGACAAGAAAAATATGGGGAAGCAGATGCCACAGCCTACTTTCACCCTGAGAAAAAAACTCTTCTTCCCTCTTAATTGATGCATAACACTATGCATAATTTAATTGTAATAAAGTGCTGCTATTCCCCACTTTCTGGATTTTTTTTGGATGGCAGGAAGGGGAGAGAATGGGAGTCAAAAGAATTAGGCTAGTTTTTATGCAAATTCAAACATAAATCTTTGGCTTTGTAATAATGGCTAGGCAGTTATAGCCATTTTGTTTGTAATACATTGGGGTGATTTTAATTGTATTTTTAATTTGATTAAAAAAGTCTTTAGAAACTCTAGTAGGTACAAAACAGTATAGTGAGTTTAAAAGAAATGTAACCTTATAAAGGTTCAAAAACAGTGGCAGAATGATCTTTACACATCTCTCATCTGCTTTTAACCCATAATCACTTAATTTAATTCCCTTCAAATTGTTAAGCATTTGCCACTTTTTTTTGTAAGTCCCTCTCTTTCCAGGCCATCTTCCACACTACTTTGCAATGCACACTTTAAAAAAAATTTTTATTGGGAAACAGTGTGTTTTTCTAGGTCCCATCAGCTCCAAGTCAAGTAGTTGTTTCAATCTAGTTGTGGAGGGCGCAACTCAGTGGGCATTGAACTGGCAACCTTGGTGTTACGAGCACTGTGCCCTGTGCACTAACCACCTGCGCTAACCGGCAGTCCCCACACATTTTCTTTTTACTTTCCTAAGTTCAAAGTGAGAGGGAGTATTTTGAGGGGGATTAATGGCAGTGTGTCATTTACTGTAATAATTTTTTTATTTAAACATTTACTGTATTGTTGATCACACCTCGTACTAATTAAATTGACATAAGATAAATTAACAGGAGAAAACAAATTTAATTTTCACACATACAGGAGCTCATCGAAATATGAGACTCAAAGAAATGACCAAAGAAGGCAGATTTATACCTTTTAAACAAAGTAACAACACATTTGTGAAGTATTGACAAGACAGAGGAGTTTGGATTTGGGATAGCAAATTAGTAAAGAGGTGGGCAGTCAGGTGGCTCAGTTGGTTAGAGCTCTGAACAACAAGGTTGCCAGTTCCATTCCCACACGGGCCAGTGAGCTGCGCCCTCTGCAACTAGATTGAAGACAATGTCTTGAGCTGAGCTGCCAGTGGGGGGCCAGATGGTTTAGTTGGTTAGAGAGCATGCTCTTAACAACAAGGTCGCCGGTTCGATTCCTGCATGGGATTGTGAGCTGTGCCCCCAGCAACTAGATTGAAAACGGTGACTGGACTTGGAGATGAGCTGCACCCACCACAACTCGATTGAAACAACTACTTGACTTGGAGCTGATGGCTCCTGGAAAAACACACTGTTCCCAATAAAATTTCTCAAAAAAAATCAAAACAGTAACAAGGTTTATTTATATAGCCTTCTTGACCCTGAATTCCCTATCTCTGGTGATAAGAATACCTTCTACCTTCCTGGACGGGTACCGTTCACATGAGAGGTTTCTTTCCTGCCTTCAGTGGAATAAAAGAGGGTGTTATTAAAGTAACTTTAATTCAAATTAATAAATATGTCCCAAACCCTATTATAAGTTTCCTTAAAATACAAATTGGAAAATGTTATTTTTTTATATTAAAAGCTTTTTAAAAGCTCAAAATGTTTTATAAATCCTTTATAATCTGTTTCCAAACTCCTTTTTCAGCCTTTTCTCTTATTGTTCTTGCAATATATACGTACTTCTGTCCATGTTTGATTTGCTTTCTTGCTAAAAATGATGCAGTCTCTTCATGTATGTTTATAATTCGTTTATGCATCTAGTTCATTTTGAATATTTAGGACATGTTATTTTTAAAAACTAGAAATTTTTTAAAGAATAGATTTTTCAAAAATATTCTTAACAGGATAAGGTATAATTTTATCTTACTGTTCCTTGGAGATTGTTTTGTTTGATTCATTCATGTATGTTTACAATTGAAAATAGTGACTTGACGTGGAGATGACCTGGGCCCTCCACAACTAGATTGAAACAACTACTGGACTTGGAGCTGATGGCTCCTGGAAAAACACACTGCTTTCCAATAAAATTTCTTAAAAAAAAAAAAAAAAGTAACAAGGTTTATTTATACAGCCTTCTTGACCCTGAATTCCCTATCTCTGGTGATAAGAATACCTTCTTCCTTCCTGGACGGGTACCATTCACAAGGAAGGTTTCTTTCCTACCTTCAGTGGAATAAAAAAAACAAAAATCTTTTTGCCAATGGCATCTCACCAGTGGGAAATGTTTAGATCACAGATATGTTTTACTCGAGCCTCCTAATGTTTGCTCACATATTGTATTTTTTAAAAATTTGTGGTTCAGGGACGGCCGAGTGGCGCGATGGTTAAGAACTGGCTTGAGACGCCAGAGGGCCCCGGTTCGGATCCCACATATGAGGGCCAGTGACACTGCCCTCCACAGCTAAGATGCTGAACAACAGCTCAACCTGAAGCTGGGCTGCCATGAGTCGCTGGCGACGGCGTAGGCTGCAGCCCCTGTGTCAGTGGGTTGCCATGGGCTACCATATGTAGCCAGCAGCCAGCGTGAGCGGCCAGCAGCCGCAGTGAGCGGCAGTCCAGAAGCCAGCGACTGATCTGCCTCACCCGGGAAGAGCGCAATGATGGTGCCAACTTGGGCCAGTGAAGCAACGTCCTCCACAACTAGACTGAAGAACAAAAACGACAGCAACTCGTCTGTTCCCCTTCCCCAATTCCCCAGCACTGTTCCCATCCCCCCAGTTCCCCAATAAAAAAATCTTAAAAAAAAAAAATTGTGGTTCAGGGGCCCGGCTGAGTGGCTGAGTTGTTAAGAGCTTGCTTAAGAGTGCGAGCTCTGAGCAACAAGGTCGCTGGTTCGATTCCCACATGGGCCAGTGAGTTGCACCCGAGCTGAGCTGCCGCTGAGCCACCAACAGGTGGCAGGATATCTCAGCTGGTGAGAGCACGTGCTCCTAACAACAAGGTTGCCTGTTCAATGGTGGGCTATGCCCACCCGCAACTTAAGACTGAACTTGGCACCTTGAGCTGAGCTGCCGCCCGGATGACTCAGTGGATAGAGCGTGCACTCTTAACAACGAGGCTGCCAGTTTGACTCCTGCATGGGATGGTGGCTAAGCCCACCCTCAACTAAGACTGAGCACAGCACCTTGAGCTGAGTGAGGCAACTGGACCTGGAGCTGAGCTTGCTGTGCCTTCTACAACTAAGATTGGAGGACAACGGCTTGGCTGTTCCCCCTCCCCAATTCCCCCAACACTGTTCCCCTCCCCCAATTCCCCAATAAAAAATCTTTAAAAAATTTATGGTTCATATTTAAAAATTGGGAGATGTCACATAAAAATCAGAATACCTTTTTTTGAAAAATCAGAATATTTGACCACATTGACCCCATGCTCCCATATGGCAACAATGGAATGGGTTCTCCTAATCCCTACACCTCACCCCCAATCCCCTACACCACCCTCTCCAGTACCCTCATGTAACCTGCTGCCAATTACCACTTATCATTGAGCTTATGGGTTTGTTTTTACTTATGTCCAGCCCACTTCACTTATTTATGTTGACTGTCCTGTGGGCATTTGAATTCTGGCAATGGCTTAGAGAAGGTGGCAAGAATCATCAGAAATTCTTCCCAAATTATAGGCTAAGGAATATGATTGAGAGGTGCGAGAGTGGGGACACATGTAAGAAAGAAAAGTTTGTGGAATCGAATCAACAAATTATCTACCTTGCTAGCTAGCTAAATACCCTAGCTATTTAGGGTATTTAAATACCCTAAATATTTAAATTTAGGGGGACAGAAGATATACCCCAAAATATAGCCAACATTTAATAGGAAGAAGATTTTTCAGATCAGTGACTTCATAATGAAATATGTTGAGGTAGGAGGGGAAAATAGTACAAAGCCCAGAGAAAGCTCAGCTCCAGGTATAGAGAACATCATTTTTCAATGAAAAGTCATGAAAATCTAAGTAACTTATATGAGAATTCAAACATTCCCAACCACTCAGGAGAAAGCAAATTGTGAAAAGACAAAAGTAGAAGGAAGACAACCCAAGAACTAAACTCATCGTATGCATTTCCCAAGTAAACATCACAGGCGTTCTCTAGACTTACAGAGGAGCTGTTTCTACCATCTTTGATGATGGAGAACAATTTTTCTGCTCATAATTCTTGTCTTTTGTTGCTACTATCTTCTAAAGTGTCAGAATCATCCTCATAAATACTAACAGAGGTTGATTTTCCAGATCGTTCTTCATAAATTTTTTCATTCTTGACAATTATCTTTTGCCTGCAAAGAAAGAGAAGATGTATCACTATAGACTCAAAGGGTAGAAAGAGGTGTAGGATAGTTGGGGAGAGAGAAATGTTGTCTCATTCCTTCATTGGGGGCAGTCTCATTCATTACTTGTAGTGGTTCTGAATTTAGTGAGATATGATATTTAGGTGACCAAATACCTATAAGAGGAATTTTCTTTTTTTTCTTTTTTTTAAAGATTTTTTATTGGGGAATTAGGGGGATGGGAACAGACAAGTTGCTGTCATTTTGTTCTTCAGTCTAGTTGTGGAGGACGTTGTTTCACTGGCCCAAGTTGGCACCATCATTGCGCTCTTCCCAGGTCAGGCAGATCAGTCGCCGGCTTCTGGACGGCCGCTCACTGCGGCTGCTGGCCGCTCATGCTGGCTGCTGGCTACACACGGTAGCCCGTGGCAACCCACTGCAGCAGGGGCTGCAGCCTACGCCGTCGCCGGTGACTCACGGCAGCTCAGCTCCAGGTTGAGCTGTTGTTCAGCATCTTAGCTGTAGAGGGCAGTGTCACTGGCCCTTATATGTGGGATCCGAACCGGGGCCCTCTGGCATCCCAAGCCAGTTCTTAACCATCGCACCACTCGGCCAGCCCTAAGAGGAATTTTCTATTAAATCAATACAATGAGTAAATTCCCTTTACTAAAGTATTGACCAAAGTTTATTTTAATGATTTAAGATGCTTCTTCAGGTACCTGTGTAATTTTTGACCTGAAGTTGTCTTCCACAGGAAACAAATGCAGCTGTAAACCATTAATACCTAAACTCTCAGGGGTGATGGATTTAAAAATAATCCCTAGTCACAAAACTGAATAAATTCAGAGATTCTCAGATAAATCTCTCATGTGTCATTTTGCATAAAAGCTAAGATGTAGGAAGGTAAGGGAGGGGAGTTGAGACACATTCCCAGCACCATTTCAAATGAACTGTCTGATCTCAGCAGGTAAATTCTGTGGGCAGGCTCAGAGTGACTATCTCCCTCCCGAAAAAGGCTCTATGTTGACTTCATTACAGAATACCTGGGTTCATTTTCACCTTTTCCTCACGCAAACTCCCCCCTGCTTCCTAAAGATAACTCAGCCATGTTTCTGTGAGCAGCATCATTCACACCTCAGATGAATGTTTTCTTCTGTCAGGAGCTGTATAGTGTATTTAAACTTCTCTTCAGATTCGGCGAGCTTGGTTTGGAACGTTTTCTCCAGATTTCCTACCACAGCTTTCTGAAAGACATGTACATTTTAATAGTTATCTTTCCCAAACCAGAACTCTATGGCCAAGCTGCAAAAAAGACCTGGATTCTTCCTCCCAACTTCCAGCCCCACTCCAGCCAGGACTCACCTCTCTCTGGAGTTCCATCTGGGTGTGGTAGAGGGTAGTGTTAAGTGATTCTAAGATAACAGCTTGTGCATTCAGCTCTTCCTCCATGACCTGTGTAAGAAGAAATTGTTTTGGGACATCACGATGATATCTACCCATTTATTCTCTTCTCCAGGGTACCTGGACTAGAATGTGAAGCATCAATTTCAGCTACTCCTTCTCTTGCACCGTTCAGTCACTATGCCCTGTTAATTCTCCCTCCTCTGTGTCTCGCCCATCTATACTCTCCTCTGCAGCCTCACTGTCACTGCCCCCGAGGCAGCCCTCACCAGAGCTCACATGGGTTATCACAACAGCTACCAATTATTCATTCATTAAACAAGTATTTGTTAAATATCTACTATGGATTCCAACTGCACAACATTCTGGAAAAGGCAAAACTATAGAGATAGAAAAAGATCAGTGGTTGCCAGGGGTTGGGAGGGAAAGCAAAGGGTAAATAGGTAAGCAGAGTATTTTTAGGGCAGAGAAACCATTCCGTATGACATTGCAAAGATGACTATCTGGTATGATGCACTGGACAGAACCTATAGAATGTACAACACAGAGAGTGAACCCCAATGTAAACTATGGACTTTAGTTAAAAATGGTGCATTAATATTGGTTATCAACTCTAACAAATGTACCAGACCAATGCAAGATGTTAATAACAGGGAAAACTGTGTGTGTGTGTGTGTGTGTGTGTGTGTGTGTGTTATAGGAAATGTCTATATTGTACTTTTTGCTTAATTTTTCCATAAACCTAACACGGATCTAAAATAACAGTCTGTTAATTAGGGGAGGGAAAATCCTACTACTGTTTTAGGCACCAGGAATATTAAAATGAACAAGACAAATATAATTCTTACTCATTGGGGGATACATTGTATGAGGGAGATGTAAAAAAATTAAATAAAAGTAAATAAATAATTACAATAATAAATTGAAAACAAACCAAGGATGCAGGTAAAGGATGCAGTGTAAGTGCAGGAAAGGGATAAGTGTGGGGTCTGCTTTAGGTAGATCCTAGAGAGACTATAAAAATGAACCACAGGACCAGCCAAGTGGTGCATTGGGTAAGTGTTGGCTTGGGACACCAGCTCTGAGCAGCAGGGCTCGGTTCGGGTCCCACATTAGGGCCAGTGATGCTGCGCCCTCTACAGCTAAGATGGTGAACAACAGCTCTACCTGGAGTTGGGCTGCCATGAGTCGCCGGCGACGGTGTAGGCTTCAGTGAAGCTACAGTGGGCTGCCATAAGCTACTGTGAGTGGCCGACAGCCGGTATGAGCAGCCAGCAGCCAGCATGAGCTGCCAAGAGCCACCGTGAGTGGTGTCCAGTGGCAGGCAACTGATCTACCTCACCTGGGAAGAGCGCAATGATAATACCAACATGGACCAGTGAAGTGACGTCCTCCACAACTAGACTGAAGAACAAAAGAACAACAACTTGTCTGTTCCCCTCCCCCAATTCCCCAATAAAATCTTAAAAAAAAAAATGAACGAGATTGGTCTCTGCTTGCAAGTGTCAGCGTTATTTAACTCCCTCATGTCCTAAGAGCCCTTCCTATGTAATGAGCATCCTCCCATGATGTATACCTGGAGAGGTACCATCATGTACTGCAACTGCGTTGAGCAAAGCACTGTACCAGGTCATTTTGCATTTTTTTCATTTATTTATTCATTCAAAAAATCAATTGTTATTTACTGAATGTCTGTGATGTGCCAGACACTGTTCTAGAAATGGGATTAGTAGTAAAGAAAACAGACAAAAATTCCTGCCTTCATTGAGTTTATCAGGTTAGATGGTTATGGGTCTGCGTAGAAAAATAAAACAGGGAAAAGGAAGTGCCAGACATTTTCTTGAGGTTTTAAATAGCTTGGCCCCTGAGAAGGTGGCATTTGAATGAAGACTGGAAGGAGGTAAGAAAGTTAGCCATGTGGCTATCTGGCAAAGAGCTTTCTAGGAAGAGAAAAAAATTAAGTGCAAAGACCCCAAAGTGTGAACATCGTGGCCTGTTAAAGAAACAAGAAGTCCGCTGCCACAAGAGTGGCATGATGGAGGTTAAGAAATTGAAGGAGATGAGTTTGGAGGAAAGAAACACCAGTATGGAGTAGGTAGAACAATCCCCAGGACCAACTCCAGACTGGGAATAGTTCATATTCCCACCAGCGAAGAGTAGAAAATCCCTTCCAATACACACAGTATTGGGTAGAATTGTATCATCTCAGAGGGGAAAAATTAGCCCTAAGGACTGCTGTAATTCTGCCTAACAAAGCTGAAAAGCAAGGCTTGAAAAGATCAAACTATGTCCAAATAACTGAATCCCAGAACAAAACTCAACAATATTTAAAGGAATGCAAAAATATTCAGCACCCAACAAGGTAAACTTCACAGTGGCTGGCATCCAATTAAAAAAATTACCAGGGGGGCCGGCTGAGTGGCGCTTGGTTAAGAGCTGGCTTGGGATGCCAGAGGGCCCCAGTTCGGATCCCACATATGAGGGCCAGTG